ACCAACAAGCACATCTGGTACCAGGGACACCAGGTTGCAGCCACTCTATGGCACAGCTGTGAAGCAGAGGACAGAGGTTTGGAAATAGCAGGTCGACTTGGAAGGAGTTTCCAGCCCATTCATTGTACAGGGTGTTTGATGGATATTACAGGATTGATAATCTCTGCTGGCTTCTGCTGCTGCCTTGCTTGCCTCTGACCTAGAAATGGCTGAAGAAGTTTAAGTCATACTCACATCGTTTTTACATCTTTTTTTTTTTTTGAGATGGAGTTTGGCTCTGTTGCCCAGGCTGAAGTGCAGTGGCATGATCTCGGCTCACTGCAACCTCCGCCTCCTGGGTTCAAGCAATTCTCCTGTCTCATCCTCTTGGGTAGCTGGGATTACAGGCTCCTGCCACCATACCCAGCTCATTTTTGTATTTTTAATAGAGATGGGGTTTCACCATGTTAGCCAGGCTGGTCTTGAACTCCTGACCTCAGGTGATCCACCTGCCTCAGTCTCTCAAAGTTCTGGGATTACAGGTGTGAGCCACGGTGCCTGGCTTAGATCCTCTATAGATGCCCTTGGAGCTGTGTGTGGAGGTAGGCTGGTTTTGTCTTGCTGATGAAGGTGTGGGGAACCCTGTGCACTAAGGGGGAGCCATAAGTAATGACAGTAAATCATCATACGTGTTGTCCTAATCCTTGGAGGCAGTTTTTGACATTGTAGGTATACCTTGTCCCTTCTGCTCTGTGCCCAAGGGGACTGGCTGTCAGGCTCAGCCCGTCTTCTGGGGTCCACCCTAAAATGCTTCCCTTGTGGACTCTTCCCTAAGATGCTTCTCTCTTCTCCAGGGCTTTCCTCCTCCTCATCTTCTTCTTTTTTTTTTTTTTTTGAGATGAAGTCTCACCCTGTCACCCTGCCTAAAATGCAATCTCGGCTCACTACAACCTCTGCCTCCCGAGATCAAGTGATTCTCCTGCCTCAGCCTCCCGAGTAGCTGGGATTACAGGAAACTGCCACCATGCCCTTCTAATTTTTTGTGTCTTTAGTAGAGACAGGGTTTCACCATGTTGGCCAGGCTGGTTTGAAACTCCTAGGGACTTGACAGGTACTGCTAGGAATAGATTTTGAGGTTGAGGAGCTTAGCAAGCACTTGTTCTCTCTAAATCCATGGATGGATCCTCACGCTGAGCCTGGTGCATCTCTTGGTTATTTTGGGACAATAAACAAATTGGCTGAGTCTCCCTTAAAAGGTGAGCCCACCCCACCCCAATACATATTATTTGATGTATTACATTGAAAGTAATGGCAGCCGGGCGTGGTGGCTCACGCCTGTAATCCCAGCACTTTGTGAGGCCAAGGCAGGCAGATCACGAGGTTAGGAGTTCAAGACCTGCCTGACCAATATGGAGAAACCCGGTCTCTACTAAAAATACAAAAATTAGCCAGGCCTGATGGTGGGCGCCTGTAATCCCAGCTATTCGGGAGATTTAGGCAGGACAATTGCTTGAACCCAGGAGGCAAAGGTTGCATTGAGCTGAGATCTCGCCATTGCACTCCAGCCTGGGTGACAGAAGAGAGACTTAGTCTCCAAAAAAAACAAAAAACAAAAAACAAAAAAAATTAATGGTAAAACTGCAATTACCTTTGCACCAGCCTAACAGCTGTAGAGAACTTTCTGGAGGCAGCTGCTCCTCCCTCCTCCCACAGCTGCCACTTTGAGGACACCTGGGCTGGACCCCAGCTGTGCCCTCAAGCTCTATTGATCCCCCTCTCCTGGTGCTGCCCACCCTGCACAGTTGTAGTAGGGATGGAATGAGGCAATCCTGTGAAATGAGCTGGAAGTAGACACCATGTATCTTTTTGTTAAAGAAGCAAACCCCCAAAGGAGAAGTGTCAGGCTTCTTTCTTTCCCACTGCCTTTGCCTACACCTTTCAGCAGCGATCTGAGTCTGTTGAGATGCAGATGTTAAGCCTGGGCCGAAAAGCGCTGCTCTCTGCACCGTCCCAGAGAGGCCTCTCCCCAGCCGGTGGCACTGGCATGCTTGTTACACAGCAGCACTGCCTCATGTCTCCAGCTTCATCCTCATGAAGATTGGATTCCCACCTCCCAACACCCACAATCTTTTTTCCCATGGAAATAAATACCTTTTAATTCTGATTAAACCTCCTTCTTGTTGGAAATTTAGAAAGTCAAGGAAAGCTGAAAAGAAGAAAATGAAAATTACCTGTCACTTTCAGTCAGATGTATGCAGTTCATATGTATTGACTCCATCAGCTGTGTCTGCCAGTATTCCAAATCCTCAGATAAATAATCTAATCTCTCAACATCTATATGACATAAGGACTGATTATCCTCTTTTTATATATGAGGAAATTGAGTCACAGGGGAGTTGGTAGCTTGTCCAGGATAACACAGTTTGGGGGGGGTAGTGTGTGCATGTGCCCACTTTTTCATAATTAGGGTTCTGCTTTACCCACTTCTGAATCTTGTCTTTCCTCACTTAACATTGTATCATACACATTTCCCATAATGTGATAATTTCTTATTAATCATCATCATTTTACTGGCTGCATAGTTTGCCATAATTTTTACTCTTTTCCCTATCGTTGAACAGTTAAGTCTCTCCCCACCCCTTTTCCCTGAATTTTCAGCAAGACTGCGGTGAAACACTGTGTACATAAATCTGTGTTTGCACTGCTCACAATTCCATAGGGTCAATTCCTAGAAGTGAAATCAGTGTGTCAGAGGCTACGAGCTATCAGACAGCCTTCCAGAGGACCACACCAACTCATCCTTCCATCACACATGAAAATGCCTCTCACTGGCCGGATGTTGTGGCTCATGCTTGTGATCCCAGCACTTTGGGAGGCTGAGGCAGGCAGATCACTTGAGGTCAGGAGTTCAAGACCAGCCTGGTCAACATGGCAAAACTCCACCTTTACTAAAAATGCAAAAATTAGCCAGGCCTGGTGGCAGGTGCCTGTAATCCAGCTACTTGGGAGGCTGAGGCAGGAGAATTGCTCGAACCTGGGAGGTGGAGGTTTCAGTGAGCTGAGATCATGCCATTGCACTCCAGCCTGAGCAATAGAGTGAGACTTTCTCAAAAAAAAAAAAAAAAAGAAAGAAAATGCCTCTCATCATAGATTAGCCATTATCACCTGTTGGCCTTTTATTACTTTATTTTTAGATAAGATTTACCTTTTTCACCATTTTCAGTGGTTTTTAGTTGTATTCAGTGCTGTACAACTATCCCCTTTAATTCCAGAACATTTTCATCATCCCCAAAGGGACTCTCACTCCCAGTTCCCCTTGTCCTTCAGCCCCTGGCACCTGCTCATCTGCTTTCAGACTCTGTGGCTGTGCCTCTTCTGGACATTTCATGTAAAGGGAATCATACAACGTTTGTTTCTATTTTAGCGTCTGTTGATCTGATGTGTGGGATGGACAGGGAGTTGGGTGTTTTTCATCATTTCGCCTGTTTATATTTATTCTCTGATGAATTGTTGTTCACGCTCTTTGCCTGTATTGCTTTAGGGTCTTTGTATTATCAATCTCTGCGAACCCTTTATAATATTAAGGTGAATAACTCCTTGCAGCGTTTTCTTTTGCACCAAAATATTTTAATGTGGATGAGAAAGAGCCATCTGCATGGTGAAAAGAAACCGTAAATGGACAGCCCAGGGAGCGTCTGGGCAGGACTGGGGCCTCACTTAATGCAATGATACCTTGGGGAGTTTCCTTCGGCACCAGCTGGTACAGCCACAGACTCAGCCCCTTTGGCCACCTCCCCGAATCTCTGCTCAGGCAGCTGCTAGTTAGGGCCAGGGGCCAGTCCTGCCTTGAGAAGCAGGAACGTTCTGGAGCCAGGGACCTGGGCATCCGTGGGTCTGTTTCTAGACTTGTGCTGTCCCCGCCTTCCGTGGAGAAGCTTTCCCTCTCCACTGTCCACCTGCAGGTTCTGGCACTTTCCTCCCCTGCCTCCTGGTTAGGTGGAATCATGGTTTATGGGTGCACCAAGCCTTTGCCTGAGCTGCTTGGCATAGAAGATGGGCCCATACAGCCGGGCGTAGTGGCTCATGCCTGTAATCCCAGCACTTTGGGAGGCCAAGGCGGGTGGATTGCCTGAGGTCAGGAGTTCGAAAGCAGCCCGGCCAACATGGCGAAACCCTGTCTCTACTAAAAATATAAAAATTAGCCAGGCATGGTGGCGCATGCCTGTAATCTCAGCTAGTAGGGGGGGCTGAGGCAGGAGGATCGCTTGAACCTGGGAGGCAGAGGTTGCAGTGAGCCAAGATCGTGCCACTGCACTCCAGCCTGGGCAACAGAGCAAGACTCTGTCCTGAAAAAAAAAAAAAAAAGAAGGGCCCATAGGCCCAATTTTCAGGAACTCTGTAGCCAAGCAGAGGTCCTTCCTACATAAACAACATAGCAAATTAATGGGCCCAAGAAAACTGGGATTAATGGGAAGAAAATATAAATGGCAACAGAGTAACAGTTTCACTGTGGATACACCATGTGCCTGGACAGCCAGTCAGCAACAGCCTGACGCTTGGTTGAATGCACTTAACTGACTAGTTGGTGTAAATAACTACATCACTCACCTGCTCTGCCCATTAAGGATTCGAGGATTAAAACATCATCGTGGCATTTTAGGAACTAAAAAGCAGATTCAATTTTTTTTTTCACGCTGCCCAGTACACACTTCGGTGGCTAATGTTTCCCTCAATGAAAGCAATGACTGTTAAATGAGAGTTCTTAACAGGTGGGAACTCCTTGAAGTTGTAGGCAAAATTCCTGTGCGCACATCTGTGTGCATATGCATGTGTGTGTGTGTGTGTGTGTGTGTGTAGGCACGCACGAGACACACACACACACGCACCCTCCAGCGGAGAAAGCCTGCCCCCTTTGTCAATTTCTCAGAGGTATCCTCAGGATTTAGGTCACCGTTGGGGGCAGTATCCCAGAGGTGGGGCCTGTGAAGTGTCTGAGGACTCGTGTCACCTTGTGCTTGCAGTGTTGGTGAAGGGCCAGGTCACCACCAAGTACTACCGGCTGCTGTCCAAGCGGGGCGGCTGGGTGTGGGTGCAGAGCTACGCCACGGTGGTGCACAACAGCCGCTCGTCCCGGCCCCACTGCATCGTGAGTGTCAATTATGTACTCACGTAAGTCACACGTATTTGTTTCTCTCCTTGCTCTCTTCCCTGTCCCACATCGGATGGCTCCGATAAGCATCATCTCTCTTTCTCTCTTTCTCAAACTGTTCATTTGTCTCCTTTTTAATATATTTTTTTGAGCAATCCAGTCATTTTGGAAGGTCTAAACTATTTCTGTGCTCAGCGGTAAAAGCCAAGTGCTAGGCTGCAGGGGCAGCCAGGAGGAGGGTGCTCTGCCCTGGGCATAGGTTAGGATCCCATCGCAGAGCCTAGGTGAGGGGCATGGGGGGTGGGTGGGAATGCCCCCATCCTGAATAGAATGCAAAGAGCATGCATTCTGTTCGCCCCGATCAAGAATACAAACTTGTGCCATCCATGCCCACAAACATTTGGGTCATCTTGGATGCTCCTGCTGCTTGAAACAGGAAGTCTCCCATTTTTTGCCTGTCTTCCTATAGAGCCTGTTGCAAATGATGATGAATATTTGGCCCTTTAAACACTTCAGAAGGTCAAGTTCAGTCGCAAATGCTTTTTTTGTAAATCAAAAAAATATAAATGTTTTCGTGGAGACGGGGTGTTGCTCTGTTGGCCGGGCTGGTCTTGAATGCCTGGCTTTAGGCGATCCTCTTGCCTCAGTCTCTCAAAGTGCTGGGATTACAGGCATGAGCTCATGGCGTTCAGCTTGCAAATACTTTTGTTTTTTGAGACAAAGGCTTGCTCTCGTCTGCCAGGCTGGAGTGCAATGGCGTGATCTCGGCTCACTGCAATCTCCACCTCTTGGGTTCAAGTGATTCTCCTGCCTCAGACTCCCAAGTAGCTGGGATTACAGGCACCTGCTAACATGCCCAGCTAATTTTTGTATTTGTAATAGAGATGAGGTTTCACCATGTTGGCCAGACTGGTCTCAAACCCCTGACCTCAGGCAATCCACCTGCCTTGGCCTCCCAAAGTGCTAGGATTATAGGCTTGAGCCACTGCAAATATTTTTAAGGCCATTAGAAGCAATAGGACATATGTCTATCTGGGGCCATGTATTACTTTCCACCCACCATAGCTATTGTACGTTAAATCACCTCACTCCAGGCTCTGACCCCTGCAGTGCCCCCAGCCCCATGGTGAAAAGGGTTCTCATTTGCACTTTATACAGGGTGAGGATTTAGGCTCTAGGTTCATTCACAGAATGACTTCCAGGTCCTGTGTGTCTCAGAAAGCAAGTGATTCTAGCAAAACCATCAGGGAGAAAACAAGTTAGCCCTTTAGTTATTCTTCCTGAGCAAATCTGTGGGCTGGTTTTCCAGGTTGACCTCCCACGTGTGACCATGACCCTGCTGAGTTGGGTTCTTTAGGGCAGAGATGGGCCCCTGATGTGACAATGCACCAAGTTGGAGGCCAGGCTCCCAGACCCGTGAAGGGTCCCCAGCTCTTGCCTCCTGGGGTGCTATCTGGAGAGGCACCGGGGCCGCAGATGCTCATGCTGGATGCAGGTGGATCTGATCAATGGTATTTCTGCCTGTCGCGTTTTCCCTTGACGGCTCCCCTAATGGCCCATGGCCCCTCCCCCACCACCCTCCACCCCCCCTGACAACTGCCCAGAGATGTGTTTGGGGCTTTATGGGACTGGAGAGAGCTCTGACCTGGCTCAGTATTTCCTGAGGTGGACCAGCCTGGGGCTGCAGACCGCTTTTATCATGAGGGTGAGCCAGCCTTGTCTCAAATCCCACCCACATCCAACCCCAGTGAAATGACACACTGGGGCACTGAGAATGAGCTGCCCCCGGGCTGGGGCCAGGGAAGCTGCTCGGCCTCTGCTGCCTGCTGGACCTGACTCGGCCCACTCCCGCCTTCCAGGGAGATTGAATACAAGGAGCTGCAGCTGTCCCTGGAGCAGGTGTCCACTGCCAAGTCCCAGGACTCCTGGAGGACTGCCTTGTCTACCTCACAAGAAACTAGGAAATTAGCGAAACCCAAAAATACCAAGATGAAGACAAAGCTGAGAACAAACCCTTACCCCCCACAGGTAACACGCACATCCTGAAATTTGGGGGTGCTGATAAATTTATCCCAGGAGTTTGGGAAGCCTGGACACGTAGGAATGGGGAGCCTCTCAGTGCACAGCAGGGGTCTCCCTCCCATGGAGCAAGGTCCCTCTGGGAGGTCCTGTATACACGGTAGTGACTCCAGGGGAAGGCTGACATCCCAGTGAACTAGTCAAGTTTAGGAAACAGAAGACTCCACTGGTAAGGCACATCAGTCCATTCGAACCCATGGGTTAGATTCTCATGCCTTGACGGGTTAGAATCCATGGGTTAGATCTCAGACTGGTGGGTTAGAGTCTAGATTGGTTAGTTAGACGGCCGCTGGGTTAGCGTCTAGGCTGGTGGGTTAGATTCTAGACTGGTAGCTTAGAGTCTAGACTGGTGGGAGCCCACAACTGTAATCCCAGCACTTTGGGAGTCCGAGGCAGGTGGATCATCTGAGGTCAGGAGTTTGAGACCAGCCTGGCCAACATGGTGAAACCCCATCTCTACTAAAAATACAAAAATTAGTCAGGTGTGGTGGCAGCGCACCTGTAGTCCCAGCTACTTGGGAGGCTGAGGCAGGAGAATTGCTTGAACCCAGGAGGTGGTGGTTGCAGTGAGCTAAGACAGTGCCACTGCACTCTAGCCTGGGCGACAGAGCAAGACTCCATCTCAAACAAAAGAAAAGAAAGAAACAGCAAGTGTCCATGTGTGTCTGATGAGGTGTTAGCTCGGGGGTGGGGGCTCTCCTACCCTGGGAGCAGGTCACTGAGGTATCACTTGCTGTGTGCCTGTCCCCAGTAGGACGTTGCAGTGGTGGTGAGGGTAGGGGGTGTCCTTGGCTGGGGTTGGGCCCCATAGGGGTGGATCGTGCAGGGCCAGAAGGCAGCTTCCTGCCGGCCCCTTGCTGGCCCTTCATCCATCTTCTTTGCCATGCAGCAATACAGCTCGTTCCAAATGGACAAACTGGAATGTGGCCAGCTTGGAAACTGGAGAGCCAGTCCCCCTGCAAGCACTCCTGCCCCCCCGGAACCGCAGCTCCACTCCGAGAGCAGTGACCTTCTGTACGCGCCGTCCTACAGCCTGCCCTTCTCCTACCATTACGGACACTTCCCTCTGGACTCCCACGTCTTCAGCAGCAAAAAGCCAATGTTGCCAGCCAAGTTTGGGCAGCCCCAAGGATCCCCGTGTGAGGTGGCACGCTTTTTCCTGAGCACACTGCCAGCCAGCGGTGAATGCCAGTGGCATTATGCCAACCCCCTAGTGCCTAGCAGCTCGTCTCCAGCTAAAAACCCTCCAGAGCCACCAGTGAACACTGCTCGGCACAGCCTGATGCCAAGCTATGAAGGTGGGTCTGGTCTGCTCATGGGGAAGGCAGGAGGACTGGGCATGGCCGGGGGCCGAAGCAGCCGCAAGAGTGGGTGGCAGATGGAGACAGAACCTTCACGCTTTGGGCAAGCTTTCCCTCTTTCTGCTTCTAAGTAGGGTTTGCTGTGCTTTCCTGCTCTTGATGCAGGTGCTCCTCGAGGGTGCAAAATGGCAGCTGCCTGCCTTGGGGACTGACACAGTGACAGTATAAAGGGCAAAGGAAACAGTAGCCGGCCATCACGTAAATCCTGAGCAAAGGGGGACAGTGAGTTTCAAAACCAGCTCTCATGTGCCGAGAATGCCCTGGTGGCATTTCTTTTGCAAGATTACTTTGCACCCCACCCAGAAGTGACTATTTGAGACAAACAGCCTCATTGTTTTCCATGCCAGTTTTGGAAGTGGGGAAAGCCATGGTGGAAATTCATGAGCTTGGGGACAGAAATGCCACTCCCCAACTCAGGGCAAAGAACACAAGCCCTCCAGGCCTCAGTTTCTTCACTTGTACAATGGGGCCACAAGCTGTGATGGGCCTACTCCCACGTCATGGCACACAGTAGGGGCCTGCTCTGTACATGCCAGTTCAACAATAGGAAGGAATGGCCTTTTGCCTTCTCCTGGCAGCTGGCAAGCAGATGTCCTCTGCAGACACCGCCAGCTGTCCAGGACACAGACTCCTGTTTGCTCCATGGACCAACCCCAGGCAGAGGGTGGACGGTGGGGATGGAGGGTTAGCTACAGGAAATTATTCTCGTTGCACCCAGACCTAACTGCTGCTCAGAGTGTAGACCAAGATGGTGCAGATGTCTTGCAGTGTCACTAAAATGTGGGTGAAGGTGACATCAGGATTATGTGCCCCAGGCTGGACGCATCACACCTGTAATCCCAGCACTTTGAGAGGCTGAGGCAGGCAGATCACCTGAGGTCAGGAATTTCAGATCAGCCTGGCCAACATGGGGAAACCCCCATCTCTACTAAAAATAGAAAAATTAGTTGGGCACAGTGGTGAGCACCTCTAATCCCAGCTACTCAGGAGGTTGAGGTGGGAGGATTATTTGAACTCAGGAGGCAGAGGTTGCAGTGAGCCAAGATCATACCACTGCACTCCAGCCTGGGTGACAGAGTGAGACTCTGTCTCAAAAAAAAAAAGGATGATGTACCCCAGAAAAGAATCACGGAGCCCCTGCTTAAAGAGGAAAGGATAAAAGAGGAGAGTGCCCCAAAGTCCCCCACCCCTCTCTCGAGGCAGACAGGGCTCTGCTCCTTCTGGGCCTCATACTGCTTTTTCTGCAAATCCTAGGAATCTCTTGCTCTGTGTTTCAACTAGAGGCTGAGATAACATTTCTTCCCAAATCTGAGACAAGGGATAGATTATGGGAGAATCCAGCCTTTCTGGAAATCACTAGGGCGTGTTTTTTCAGAAGTACCCAACTTAGAAAAGACCACACTGGTGACCAGGGCCAGGCCCCTTGCCTTTTGACCTGGCCTGTCCCAGGAGCCAGTGATCCCTTAGATATGCACCCGCCATATCCAGGAACACCTTGGGACCCTGACATAACCAAGGAAGGGACCTCCAGAACAGCCAAGCAAAGGAAGGCAAAGGGTTTTGATAACAGCTAAACATCGGACCCACTTGAGATTGACTTCAGAGAGTTTTTGTGTGTGTGTCTGAAGCTGGCTAATGCAGTCACATGGTATTTGACTTTTACCACTATTTTAAAAGTGAAAGAGGTTAACAATCTCCTTGTCACACACGTGATAAAAAGTGGACCAAAGGTGGTAATTTGAGGCAATTTGCGATCAGTTTCCTAGTCTCTTTGGTATTAAAGGAAGACAAATGTTGCCAAAAGGTGTTAAAAAGAAAAGCCGGGAAGCTACTTAATGTCAGGCGTCTGACTGAGTAGACAGGAATGGTTATTTTTCATTATGCCACGAAACAATCAGGGTGGTTACCCACCCCCTCCCCCACTGAGGGACTGGCAGAAGAAATCGGGACAGACAGGGCCATCTAACACTAAGGCCCCTGGTGGCGTCTAGTCCCCTGCTGTCCAATCAGGTAGCCACCAACCCCATGTGGTCTTGAACATGGAAATGTGGCCAGTGCAGTGAGGCAGGTGTGACCTGTGCTCTGCATCTCAGTACCAAACAAAAAAAAAGTCCCAATAATTGTTTAACACTAATTGCACACTGAGATAGTATTTTGGCCATAGTGCGTTAAAGGACGTGTATTATTTAACAGGCATCACACTTGTTTCTCTGTAACGTGGCTCCTGGAACATTTCAAGTCGCGTCTTGAGATTGGACCATGCGGACTAGACCGAGAGGCGGGAGGGCGACAGCGACCCCGCGGATGGAGCGCGTGGGCTGCGGAGGGGTGGCGGGCGCGTCCGGAGCTTGGATGGGAGTGGGGTGGTTGCGGCCGCGCCCCTTGCTGCCCGGGGCGGGCGTCTCCCTCTAACGTGTCGCCTGTCCCCGCAGCGCCCGCCGCCGCCATGCGGAGGTTCAGCGAGGACACCGCGCCCCCGAGCTTCCCGAGCTGCGGCCACTACCGCGAGGAGCCCACGCTGGGCCCGGCCAAGGCCGCCCGCCAGGCCGCCCGGGACGGGGCGCGGCTGGCGCTGGCCCGCGCGGCGCCCGAGTGCTGCGCGCCCCCGGCCCCCGAGCCCCCGGGTGCGCCGGCGCAGCTGCCCTTCGTGCTGCTCAACTACCACCGCGTGCTGGCCCGGCGTGGGCCGCTGGGGGGCGCCGCACCCACCGCCTCCGGCCTGGCCTGTGCCCCCGGCGGCCCCGAGGCGGCGACCCGTGCACTGCGGCCCCGGCACCCGAGCCCCGCCACCGCCTCCCCGCCTGGAGCGCCGCTGCCGCACTACCTGGGCGCCTCGGTCATCATCACCAACGGGAGGTGACCCGCCGGCCGCCCGCACCAGGAGCCTGGGCCCTGCCTCCGGGGGCTGCGGCGCCACCGAGCCTGGCAGACGCGCGCGACCTACAGTAATTTATGCAGACAGCTATTTGAATAGGACCCCGCCGCCGTCTTGCGGTTTTCAATCACTGCGGAGGCCGCGCGCACGGGTGCCAGAGGCCCGAGGCGCGCCCGGCAGGTGACCGCCCGCCTGTGTCCTGCGAGGGCCGGTGAGACCCAGTTGCTGGGGTCTTGGTTTCCTCACCTTGAAATCTGGCTTCACGCATTTGGCCTTGTCCCCGACGTTCCAGGAAAGTCCCGCTGGGAGATTGAAGCGGTTTCACTCCGCAAATATCCTCCACTTTAAGGAGGGAAACCCACCCTGCCACAGTCCACTCTTCCACGTGGATGGCGGATCTGGGAGGGGACCCCAGTGTCCCGAGCCCTTTTAGATGCCTAGGTGAAGGCAGAAGTGAGGATTTTAAGTCCTATGAATACACAACTCTACTGTCTTTAAAAGTCATTCAAGAGTCTCTTTTTTTTTTATTTAACCCTTTCTTCAATACAAAAACCAACAAACCAAGACTGAGGGGGTGATCATGCAATTCCATGTTGTGTGTCTGAACATGGGTGTGCTTCACAAGCACATGAACAAGCTCTTACCTCCCCCTAACTCCTATGAACTCTTGATAAAACCAAGAATAGCATCTTCAGAATATATTATTAAATAGGCATTAAATGCAAAAATATATATGTAGCCAGAGAGTTTATGAGAATGACCCTGTCCAGCTTCATTATGTGGCAAAATCCCTCTGGCCCACACAGATCTGTAATTCACTAGGCTTGTGTTTGCTACAAATAGCGCTAATACAGTTAAACTGCATGTGCAATACGCAACACTGTCAATGGGTCCGGCACCTCCTGGAGGAAAAACGTGAAGGGGATGTCATGAAATGATGTAGACATTTGAAGCATTTCTACAAATCAAGAAAACTTCATAAGAACATGTCACGTGTGCAACAGGTAAACAGAAATCCCTTCATAAAGCACCAGCAGTGTTTAAAAAATAACCCTCCATTCATTTTTATCTTTTGTGGGTTTTGCTTAAAGATCCCAACACTGAAAAATTCCATCATGGCTCCGAGCTGCACCCACGCGTTGAACCACCGTCTTTCCATTTTCTTCCCACTATAAACACTGCATCATGTTGCTGCTTTGTCACAATGGTTTATTTCAGGAAACTTTTTCCACCTTTCTGAATGGAAAGAGGTTTTCGCAAATGTTTTTAACTCGTCATTCTAGAATCAAAGGGCACCTACACCGACTGCTCTCAAAATGTGAACTGGTTTCTTTGCCAACCCTGTGTCACTTAGTGAGGACCTGACTCAGTCCCTACAGGGTATCTATCAGTGGGCATCATGGTACGAGTTACAATTTGCAAATTTAGGACCGTGGGTCACGCAGCGAAGGGGCTTGCATGGTGGGAAGGGATGCACCCACCTCTCCACGTACTCAGCTATACCTCATTCACAGCTCCCTGCGAGTGTGTGCACATGAAATAAGCCGAGGGTACTATTTGTTTTTTATGTTCATGAGTCTTGTAATTAAACCGCGATTCCTGAAAGGTGTAGGTTTGATTACTAGGAGATACCACCGACATTTTCCAATAAAGTACCGCAAAATGCTGTTGTGTCTACCTTGTTAACTTTTGGAGCTGTATTTAGTAAAAATAAATCAAGGCTATCAGAGCAGTTCAATAAGAAAGGTTACTGCTGAGAAAAAAGACCCTATTTTACAAGTGACAATGTAGACAGGCGTAACGGATTGTATATGTACTGGAAAAAGAAAATGTGTACTAGCGAAACGTCCTTGTCTAAACAAACATCACCATTTTCATAACCTAGAACATGAAGGAAGATTCTTCCACGAGCTGGCTTCAGGACGGCCAGGGCTCGGTGCAAAGTTAACAGCGCTGTTACTATGGCAACCTAATATTGTTACCTCCATCTTTAAGAGTCTGCACATTTAAGCTGGGGATAGCGTTTCTTGACTTCTGTGAGGCTCTGGCAGGGGAAGAGGAAGCATTTTTAATATATATGCCTCTCTTTTACAAAAAGGAAAAAAAAAATCGTCGTAGGCCCTAACATGTACCATGTTGACAAAAACGCCAGATCAAATGGATTTGAGAAATAAGCCCAATTCAAGGCTGGCTCAGCCCTCCACAGGGCCTCCCAGGGAAAGGAATTCCTTTATGTTCTTGGAAGCCCTTTTCTAGAAAAGCCATTCCATTCATACCTTTGTAGAGCAGTGGGCTGGGTGTGGAGGGCAGCGGAGGGTATCTGTAAGAGCCTGTATTTTCCGCCTCCCTCGCCCCAACCCGTTTTATCCTTTTAAAACTCCTATCAGCCCTGCCTTCAGCCCTTCCGCCCTAAGAGTGGGGGAGGTTTAATATGGCCAATGGATCTCGTATGAAGTCTACCTAAGTTTTCATTTACCCCAGCTATGAGACAGTTAAGGTAGACAGGGGGCTGCTACAGATAGAATGGGAAATGAAGAACATTTGCAAATAAATACCATAAAATGACAGTAGCTTGGAATTTTAGTGACTCACAGCCCTTGTGTTGTCTAGAATGCAGTATTCAAGCTGTCCCGAAACTTAAGTATGACACACAAGGTTCAAGTCTTGGGGGAAGCACTGTTCAGATGAAAAGTCAAGCAGTTTCCACAGAAGAGTAAGAAATGTCCTAAAAACAACCTAGAAGTTGTTACATTAAATTGATTTCTCACCTCAGTGAAAAGGGTTTTTGTTTCTGGGTTTTGTTAACTTTCATTCTTTGGAGTAATAATATTTCTCTGGTGTACAGCGCTGAATACATTTGTCAATAATATGTCAAAAAAACCTGGCTTCTTAATACTTGGAAATACATAAATATTCCTTACTATGTAAAACACTTTATTTATTTTGTAAAAATATGTTTAAATATGAATAAAAACACAGTAATCCAAAGTAGTTGCCTACTTTCAAAAATGAAACTTGTAAAAAGAAGAGTGAGTCCAAACCACATAGAAAGTCTTAGTTTATTTTGGTAGATTTATTTTTTATAGGCATTGGTTTAAAGTGACTCTTTTCAGAAACATTCTTTGAAAAGCTAAAACTGCAGAGGCTTCCACTTTCTTTTATTTCAAATATGCATAGTGATTAATGAGGAATAAGGATTCTCCCATGTTCTGCCGGATAAGAGCAAACAGATCCGGAGAACAGAGCCCATCCTGCCTCCCTTGTACATCTGAAGCTTGGGGTGAGGCTGGCTCCGCTATTTGTTCCCAGACTCCAGGGCAAAAGGGGAGCATGCTGTACATGCTGTGGCTTGGGGGGACTCCCAGAGGCTGCACGCTCCTGCCCGTGCTCCCCGTGGGCCTGTGCACCACACTTCACTCAGTCACATGCTCTCACATCAGACATCAGCCTACGGCAGTGAAACTCAACCGTGATTTGACTTCGAAAACAAATCCTTCCTACTTCCACCACTCCCTGGCACCCCAGGGATGGGGCCAGGGACAGGAAGCCCAGTGACTGCTGTGTTCTATTTTAGGGGGCCCTTCCCCAGGAGTCCTCCTGAAATCTGATACCAGCCTGGAAAGGAGGATATCTTGCTTTTACAAAACACAGTCAATACTCAATGCACAGCCTCTAAAGCCAGGGATAATCCAGTGTTCTAAAAGCACATGCCAATCCTGAGTTCAGTGACCACATTTTAAAGATCAGGAGGAAAATGCCAAGTGTCCATTAAACCTTTAAAGCTCCTTGAGATCCTCGTTGCAGGGTGCATACTATACGGCCCAAACCGGAGAGAGGGATATAGCAGGTAGACAGTTGCCCTAACACTAACAGCTATTGGGAAAATGCCTTTATTCAGCTAATTCTATAGGAAGCAGAGTTGCGAGAGTCTTTGGTTCATGTGAGGCAAAGTCAGGTTTATGGAAAATGAGGCCTCCGCTTGAAGGCTGCCTCATCTCCCTCAAGACAACTGGGTCTCCTGCGAGTGTGGGCAGCCTGTTAGAAGGCCAGGCACATCTCCGCATCCTTTGACAAGGCCACACTTCATTAGTTTTAATTTGCAGAAAGGAAATTAAATAACATTTTGTTCCCCAAAGCAGCATGGCCAGAATAGGACTTCAGCTTAAAACCAAACATAGCATGTTTTTCATTAAATAACCCCCAAAGAAATTAAAAAAGAGATGATGGCAGCTCTGTGAGAGGGCTGGCCTTATATTACAGAGTCTGAGAAATGAAACTTGCGTCGTTAGCCTCGAGATCTTTGCCCTGGATGATATTTTGCAGGTGCCCTCTCAAGGGTGAGTCCATTTTGTAATTTGGGGGAGGTACAGACTTTTATTTAAGCTTCAAACTAATTTTGAAAGAAGACTTGGGCATTTGGAGAAGAGTGTTTTTCTTTTTTTGAGAAAAATAATTCTAATTGAAGCCTTATTTCCAAAAATTACTTTTGAAGTTCTTTTAATGTTTCATTTCCAAAAAATACGTATTAGGTATTTTTCCTTCCTGTGGGGTGTTCTGTGCCTGGCTAAAGGTAGACAGATTTTATACTGAAAACCACAAGTTTCTGGCATTAGCCTGACTGGGGAAGACCTGGATAAAGATGGTGCTGGTTTACAGTGGAGGACTTTTGTTCAAAGCTGAAAGCTCCATCAAACTTTCTTTCCACTAATTTCAGCTGGCACTGGCAGGAAGAGAGAAAGCTGGACAAAAACTGGCCTTTTAAAGCTGAAAGGTAATGGGGATCATTCACAAGTTCAAGAGATAGGAGCGCCATGGAAAAGGCCTGGCGTCCATCTGGGAATAGCGAATGTGTATCAAAACGCTTCCTTTCTTTTGTTCTTTCATGAAGCCTGAGCACGTCAGATTTTCAGTGTCTTCTTTTAAAGCTACGTGTGCACACACGCACGCACACACATCAGCGGGCACTCATGCACACAGCCTCCCTCTGAACTGATGGTGTTTAGTATCAATAACGTTTTCTTCCTTGGTAATGAGGTAAAGGTTGGGGGCGGGGGGGCGAGAAAAACTATGACTTATGAGTAGAATGCCCTGTCTTCTATATTCTGTGAACTGCACAGTCTTATAGGAATGCTCCACATTTCAGAGTGAATCTGACACTGGCTTTAAAGCTCCGAGTCCTCCCTTGCATGTGGCATGAATGTGCCTTCATCTCCAGCTCTTAGAGCCAAGCCACCACCTCCCATCCAAGTGATGCTTCATCAGACATTTAAGGACTCTGAACTTGATTCCGTCTCTTCATAATAGGTAGTAAATTCAAACCAAGTCCCTAAGTAAGGACATTAAACTTCCTTAGGAAAGGGGGGCTCACCGAATACTGTCAAAGCAATTAACTCATTTCCTCTACAAGGTCATTGCAACGACACCAGTTGGCTGTATCTCTACAGGCGTTTAGACTTCGCTGTGGGACCACAGCACAGGTGGAAGTCTACCTTCCCTTTCCTTCATTAACAAAAACATGGAACAATGCCCGAGTGCCAAAGCATGTTCTTAGTGTTAAATACCTCCCAACATGCTCAGAAACAGGACACGGTACTTCTTACTCAACACTGGCCGGGGCTCGAGAGCATATCTTGGTTTGTTTTTTCAGTCTAGGGGTAAAGGTCTCTGCTACTGGGAAAATCTCTCAATCCTCCCATTGCTGTTTCTTTTCTTCCTTTCTTTTTTTTTTTTTCTGAGACTGAGTTTCACTCTTGTTGCCCAGGCTGGAGTGCAATGGCACGATCTCGGCTCACTGCAACCTCTGCCTCCTGGGTTCAAGCAATTCTCAGTCTCAGCCTCCAGAGTAGCTGGGATTATAGGGGTGCGCCACCACGCCCAGCTAACCTTTTATTTTTAGTAGAGATGGGTTTCTCCACATTGGTCAGGCTGGTCTTGAACTCCTGACCTCAGGTGATCTGCCTGGGATTACAGGCGTGAGCCACTGTGCCCGACCTTCCATTGCCATTTCCACGTGAAACTCCCCCTGACAATAAACATAAGTTGAAGTCCCAGAAGGGAGAGTGACTTCCCACCTGTGCCAGGGCGTTCCCTAATCTAAATCTTCTACTTGTCAGCCATCTATCCCAGGTTCTCCTCAAACACCAAAGGAAACGACAGCAAAACAAACCTAAAAAAAACAGTAACAGAATTTCCAGATGTGTGGGCATGGCCAGGCGGCCGTGCTGAAAGCGGAATGCTCACCGCGGTGGTTCCGCACTGGGCTCGGACCCCAGGCAGCCCAGTGGCGTCTCCGCCTGCTGCCCAAGTGCCAGGCCAGGTGAGTGAGGAGGGCAGGCCCAGGCCTGTCTCAGGGACATCAGCACTACCGCCGTCTGGGGAGGATGAGGTTTCTCAGCATGTCGAAGGAGTTGCCGTCCGGGTGCACAGTCACAACCTCGCTGCCCTCCTGGTGAACCTGGAGGAAGCCAGAATCATCCAGGCCGACAATGGAGGCCTTTGGTCCCTCCGGGCCGCCCAGACGGACTTGCTGACCACTGAAAAGGAGGAACAGCAAGTCACAGGCGGGCCTAGGACAATGAGCTGAATAATAATCCATGGTGAGAGAGCTGGGTGCTGGGGAGGGGCTGGGGCTCGCTGAGGGGAAGAGGCAGCCCGGGCTGAGCCTGACTTCCTTCCACCCAGGTGAAAGTTTCAATAGCTGCTAAAATAACCAGCAGGGTGCAAGTTCAGCAAGGATGGAAGGTTCTTCACACAGTATCACTCCTCCTAATTCTGGTCACCTGTGGTCATGGTTCGAACCGCTTCTTCTTCACCTCCAGCGCTTTTAAGAAACACTGTGCTACTCTAGGTCACTTGGCTGAGGTTGGAGGAAAAGAGGCTGAGCTGGCGAACAATGTTTTATTTTATAAAACAGAGTTGGGTCACGTCAACCACAAATGAAACTCATCCTGATCCTACTTCTTTTGAATATTTTCCAAATGAACTCAAGTCATGTCCTTCTTAACAGCTTTCGAAGCATAGAATTTTCCCCTGAAGTTTTTATTTTGAAGAATTTCAAATCTACAGAGCTGAAAGAGTAGTACAATAAACCTCATATTCTCTTCCATTCGCACACCAAACGAAAATATTTTCCATATTTGCTTTCTCTGTTCACACATAAACACACATTTTTTTTTCTGCATCATATAAAAATAAGTTGCAGCTGGGTGTGGTGGCTCATGCTTGTAATCTTAGCACTTTGGTAAGCCAAGGTGGGAGGATTGCTTGAGGCCAGGAGTTCGAGACCAGCCTGGGCAATATAGTAAGATCCTGCCTCTAAAAAAAATTTGTTTTAATTATCGGGGTGTGTGGCTCACTTTTGTTGTCCCAGCTACTTGGGAGGCTGAGGCAGGGGGATCAGCTGAGCCCAGGAGTTCAAGGTTTCAATAGTGAGCTATGATGGCACCACTGCACTCTAGCCTGGGTGACACAGCAAGACCCTCTCTTAAAAAAAAAAAAATAGAAAACAAATGGAAATTTAAAAAGTTTTTGAAAAGCTGCAGGCATGATGACACTTTCTGCTTAAATATTTTAGCATGAATCTCCTGAGAACAAGAACCTCCTACAAAATCATAACAGTACTACGACCGCTCAGGAAACTTGGTCTGGATACAGTAACCTTATCTACCATGTGGTCCATGCTCATGTCGTTCCCACTGTCCCCTCCATGTCCTTCGTGGCTATTTCCCTCCACCCAGTATCTATGGATCACACACTTTACATTTAGATGTCACGCCTCTTTAGTCCTCTCTAATCCCAAACCGTTGACCCACTTTTTTTGTCCAATTGCTTGTGTGAGGACACTGACATTTTTGCAGGACACAGGCCTGCTGTCGTAACATCAGTGTGTGGTCCCCAGACTTCAGCTGCATGAGAATCTCCTGGAGCATCTGTTATGACACAGAGTGCTGGCCCAGCCCCGGAGTTTCTGATGCTTAAGGCTGAGGCCTGCCTGGGGATCTCACTTTGAGACCCACCGTTACCTAGAAGGTTCGACAATTTAGATGTGTCAGATCGTTTCCTCACAATTAGAACCAGATTAAATCCATGTTAAACTCTCTCACAGTTTTCGGTTCTTCCCACTGCATCCCACCAGGAGGCACAAGATGCCAGTTTGCTCCATTACTGGCGATGTTAACTTGGTCAAGATGGTGTCCATGCGGTTTCTCGAGCAGAGGCGCAGAAGATAATCATTTGGACCACTGCTCAGCCCCTCATATTAAGACACTGAATTACTGATACTAAGGTACTAATGAAGGAGTAGAAAAGAATGAAGAAGAGCCAGCACTGACCTGTGGACCCAGTATCTGTAATAAAGTGGGAGGACGCTGTTGGGCCCTTTGTCCTGAAATGCGTCAATCAGTTTCTCCAGCACAGTCAAGACTCTGGCGATGAGATAATCGGCTCTTAAGGGCTTCAGTGCTGCCTTGTGCTGCTTGTTGTATTCTGTGATGAGGTCGTTGATGCAGATGGTCGGGTTACTGTTTGTCACATTAAATCCACAGCCTGGACGAAAACAAACAACTGGGCAGCTCAGCCTGCTGATGGCACCACACATCCCTTTCTGCCACCTGGAAAAAGTGTCAGTCCTGCCAACTTCCTGCCTCCTTGAACTCATTTCAGATTTTCTGTCTTTAGCCACTTGAAGAGTGACTTCTATCTTTTTGTCCATCTTCCTTTTTGTCCTTTTGTTTACTATTCTTGTTCAAGCTAAAATCATCTCAGCCTTACTGCAAATAAGAAGTTGGGAAAAAAGCCACATTTGATTCCGTTTAATTCAATAGAAACTATTAAATATGGGACAAAATGTATGAGCATTGCCTCGGGAAGAAGCGGTCTACCAAGCATTGTAGCTCTGTGCTGAGCGCAGTCTAGAAGAAACTCTCTTCTTTCTTCTCCTGCTTGAATAACAGATCACATGGCTGAAAACAGAGTTGCATGACTGTATTCAGGCCTTGGGGAGTAAACTCTGGATTCGGACATTTTGGACCTGGATCATGGCATTACCCTAGCTTGCATGTTTCACTACTTTCTCCTGGGAAGTCTTTGGTGCTAAGGTTACACTGTTGGCAAGACACTGACCCGCGCTCAGTGGCTTTTTTACAGGCTCCTAAACCAAGGCTTCATGAGAGTTCCCGGGGCGGTGTCTGAACAGGCTTCTCTGTGCAGTTACTTAACACCACTGTCCGCTCAGGGAGGGGCTGTGTCTTCAGAACAGCTGACCTTCAGTATTCAGCAGGGCACTGAATCGACCTGCAAGAGGTCTTCAGTAAGAAACAAAATACTGCAAAAAGTAAGCAGTAAGAAAACTACCATGTTTTCAGTGACTCCAAGAAAAAAATCCCCAAGACATTCGCCTCAGACAGAACAATGCCATTTCTGACCACAGCACTCTGTGGCAAGTGCTCCACCATTTCCAGTGTGAAGGGAAGGACTGAATGGTCTCAGATCTGAAAACAATATACTGGCTATTAAAATACAAAGCAGCTGGGCGCAGTGGCTCACGCCTGTAATCCCAGCACTTTGGGAGGCTGAGGTGGGTGGATCACCAGGTCAAGAGATCGATACCATCCTGGTCAACCTGGTGAAACCCTGTCTCTACTAAAAATACAAAAAATTAGCTGGGCACGGTGGTGCATGCCTGTAATCCCAGCTACTTGGGTGGCTGAGGCAGGAGAATTGCCTGAACCCAGGAGGCAGAGGTTGCGGTGAGCCGAGATCACGCCATTGCACTCTAGCCTGAGTGACAAGAATGAAACTCCGTCTCAAAAAAAGAAAAAAAAAATTAAAAAAAAAATGCAAAGCAATGTCATTTACCTCCAGAAGAAACCAAGTAACTACAGCAACAGGGCAGAATTTGCAGTTCATTCATTCATTCATTCATTGAATACAAACAATACCTGAAGCGCTTGTTGAAGGTAAGGCATTAAATTAAGTGCTATACAGCACTGAAAACTCTCCCCTGCATTCAGAACATGGAATTCCCAGGATGAATAGCAACACGGACTAATGGCAACTAAGGCTATGTCCTAAGGACCAGTGGGTATCCCTGCTGGCTACTCTGAATCCCCAAAGTCAGAGACCCCATCCCATGGCCTTCAGAATTCAATAAAAACTATGAATTCTCACCAAAGGAAAACGTTTCATTCCGCTACTTCTTTTTTAATTCATTTATTTTTTGAGACAGGATCTCACTCCTATTGGCCAGACTGGAGTGCAATGGCATGATCCTAGCTCACCACAGCCTCAACCTCCTGAGCTCAGGTGATTCTCCTATCTCAGCCTCCCAAGTACCTGGGACTACAGGCACGCGCCACCACGCCCAGCTAATTTTTTGTATTTTTAGGGGAGACAGTGTTTTGCCATGTTGCCCAGGCTGGTCTCAAACTCCTGGACTCAAATAATCCACCCACCTCAGCCTCCCAAAGTGCCGGGATTGCAGGTATAAGCCACTGCACCCGGCCTATTTTTTATTTTTGAGACAGGGTCTCACTCTGTTACCCTGATTGAGTGTAGTGGCGCAATCGGAGTGACAGGGTGTCACTCTGTTATTCTGACTGAGTGTAGTGGCTCAATCAGAGCTCACTGTAGCTTTAACTCCTGGGCTCAAGTGATGCTCCTGCCTCAGTCTCACAAGTAGCTGAGATTATGAGCTCAAGCTACTACGTCTGGCCTTCGCTTACCCCATGCTGATCATCCATGAGCCTCCTTGTTATCTGGCCCCTACCTAGGAATCTCTGCATCGACTGCAATTATTCACTTAAAGATAGGAAATGGAGGAGGCTGGCATATCCCAACACTTTGGGAGGCCGACATGGGTGGATCATGAGGTCAGGAGTTCAAGACCAGCCTGGGCAACATAGTGAAACCCCATCTCTACTAAAAATATCAAACAATTAGCTGGGCACGGTGACATGTACCTGTAATCCCAGCTACTTGGGAGGCTGATGCAAGGAGAATCACTTAAACCTGGGAGGTGGAGGTTGCAGTGAGCCAAGATCATCCTTTTTTGCAATTCTGGAATTGCACTGCATTCCAGGCCAGGCAACAGTACAAGACTCCATTTCAAAAAAAAAAAAAAAAAAAAGATAGGAAATGGAGCTTTAAGGGTAGGAAGTAGCTTGCCCAGAGTGACACTGCCCGTGGTGGCAGAGCTGGTAACACAGGCCTGTATTCCCTGGCTGGCACGTGGAACACACGGTTACATGTTTTTTGAGCATTGCTGGTTTCTGAACACAGATAAGGGTTGACTGCCACAGAGTGAGGCTGATGACTGGATGACTAGGAACCTACGGACTTCTGAGGTTGCCTCTGAATCCATCTTTCTGCCTGAACTGGATGTGCTAAGGTGAAACAGGGATTCTTTACCCAACCTAGACCAGCTTGGAGCTTCTTCTGAAGGTTCAAACGACGGCAACTCTTTCATGGCCTGGGAAGGTCACGATAAGAATGCAAGACACCAGGGGAACTATTTTAGAAATTAACTTGGGCTGGGTGCAGTGGTTCACATCTGTAATCCCAGCACTTTGCAGGGCTGAGGCGGGTGGATCATGAGGTCAAGAGATTGAGACCATCTTGGCCAACATGGTGAGACTCTGTCTCTACTAAAAATACAAAATTTAGCTGGGCATGGTGGCACATACCTGTAATCCTAGCTACTTGGGAGGCTGAGGCAAAATAATTGCTTAAACCTGGGAGGCGGAGGTTGCAGTGAGCCAAGATCGCACCACTGCACTCCAGCCTGGTGGAGACTCAGTCTCAAAAAAAAAAAGAAATTAACTTTCCTTTTTCTTATTACAGAATGGTATGTTAAATGTTTATTTTCACCATTTCGAATTCGATGAGTAGCAGGAGCGTGGAAGGATGTAATACCACTTTGATGAGTGATCACATCACGTTTGGTTTGATGTGATAACCGCTTTGGTGCTTTCCATGGTCACACACAGAAAATGCTAAACTCGGTGAAGTGCTTTCGACCAATCTCTCTGCATCTACATCCTGCTCCAAAACTACAAGACTCAAAGTAATCTCATATGATAATCTGCTCTTGCCAATGTAGGCATGCATAAACCTTTTTCATTTTTATCGTTTTATCAATCTAAAATGCTGGGGGAAAGGTTTTGGAAACTTACCAATAAGTATATAAAATGTTTCTCCCATGAGTGTTGAGTTAACCAGAACTCCGCCGATCTTCATGAGGTCACTGTAATAAATATCGTTGGGCCACTTCACTCGTAAGTTGATATCCTAAAGGGAAATCTGCACATTAATTAAGCAGCCTCAGGACACAAGGGGCCCAGGCAAGTCACTGAGCTAAGGGAAGACAGCAGAAGCTAAGGTCCTCCCCTTTTTCAGATAGCCAGTCACTTCTTTGGGACAATCCAGTATTGAAGTGCCTCTTGGGGCTAGGAAGTAAGGTAAAATACCTGAAGAACATAGTCTGCATAAACCCCAGCATTCTTCCCCACCCCTCAGCACCATTTCTCATCATCCAAAACACTTTCTGAAGATGCCTACCTTGTAAATTAATTCATTATGTCAGTATCAACCATCACCACCACCATGGAGTAGCTAACTAACAAGCTAGGGCAGAGGTGGGAGAGAATGGTAATCTCAGGGTGTGTCTCCCTTCAGGAACCCATGCTTGAGAGACAAAGATGCCCCTGAATTAACAAAGGATCATAAAAGGCAGGTAGAAATGTCTTAAGTACAATGCTGTGGGCAGGGTGCAGTGGCTCACGCCTGCAATCCTAGCACTTTCGGAGGCCGAGGCGGGCAGATCATGAGGTCAGGAGTTCAAGACTAGTCTGGCCAACATAGTGAAACCCCATCTCTACTAAAAATACAAAAAATTAGCTGGGTGTGGTGGGGTACGCCTGTAATCCCAGCTACTTGGGAGGCTGAGTCAGGAGAATTGCGTGGACCTGGGAGGCGGAGGTTAGAGTGAGCCAAAATCGCGTCATTGCACTCCAGCCCAGGTGACAGTGCAAGACTCCGTCTCAAAAAAAAAAAAGAAAAAAAAAGGAATGCTGTGAAGACGCAGAGGAGTAATTCACTTTAGCAAAAGCCTTGCAGAACTGCTAATGGTCCCGTGGGGTAATGGAAATTGACTTGTCACGTGGCCTATTGCCTCTGCATCTTGAGTAGTGTAGCTCTGATGGGGGCTCTGCCTGTCATCAGCTCACAGAATGGACCAAGAGTGGACAGTGTCTTGAACGAGGCCACCCAGACCTCTGTGTATCCACTGTGACTCTGAAGTTGGGACACAGAGACTGGGCTAGCTGAGTGGGTGTCAGAACCAGCTGATCTTCTAAAGCTGGGGCTGGCAGCCAGGCTGTGCCATGGGTGGGTGAAAGAAGCCTATCTGGAGATGTGAGGCTGGAAGAGAACATTCAGCAAAATAAAGCTCAGGGACCAGAGAGTAGCCGATGGCCTCCAGGTTTCACGGGGCTGGTCTTCCCGCATTGCCAGCCAGGCACGGCCCTGAGCCCCTTCTCAGCACTAGTCAACGTGTTACTTACACCAGCCCATGTGCTGGTGCTAGCCCATCCCTAGGGAACACGGGGAGAAACGGAAGCTTAGAGCAATGATGGGGCTTGCCTGAGGTTCTATCACTTGAAAGCCGCAGAGCTGAGATTCAAACCTTTCTGGGTGATGAATCCCATGCTATGCAGCCTGTCGCTTCCATGAAATCCCCTTCCTCCTTCCAACAGGCTTTCTTTTGACCTTGGCCGGTTAGAGCATATTAGAAGCTCATCTGCTCTAAAACAGCAGTTCAGGATGAGAAAAAAATGTAGGAATAGGAGAGGCACAGAAGAACCAAAAGTCTAAGCCAATAAAGTATGGGGGTTTGCAATGACCCTGAACTGATAAACAGCTTCACGTTTCTTTTCTCTCTAGAACGAGGATTCCCATTGGGAGGGGTGGATCTGGCAATACCGGGAGACGTTCTTGGTTGTCACAGCCTGAGGGAGTGCTACTGGCATCTAGAGAGTAGAGGCTGTGGATGCTGACACATCCTTTAAGGCACAGGACATCCGGATGACAAAGATGCCAGGACCCACTTATCAATTGTGCCAGGCTGAGAAAGTCTCCTCTAGGAAACCTGTGACTGGAAGACTCTGCTCTTCATCACTGCCCCCAGTTCCCTTTCCTGCTCCTCTCTCGCCTTCCCTGTGCCTGCCACCTGGCCAGGGGAATGAGCCCCTGCCTTGCCAGTGGGAGGGCACCTGTGGAGTTCTCAGAGCTGTCAAGCTCCTCCACCACGTGTGCAGCCGCTGGTGCCTAGCGGGCCCTGCACGTGGGCTCCAGCTTGCCTTCACATCTTCAAATCACATCAGTTCATGAAGTAGCTTATGAAACTCTGGGTTCCCACTCAGGTAAACAGGACCAACATTTTCAGATGAAGAGGAAGGCTGTGTATTTATTTTTCATTTTCCCAATCATGTATTCCAACAGTTGCTGTGATTCTCCCATGTAAAAAAGACCAAAATGAAACAAATCCTGGTTTGAAGAGCGGCTAACTTCGTGGGAGATGGAACAGGAGCACACATCACTCCTCTTCAAAGCCACACACGGTGGATACCACAAAAGGGGCTTTAACATTGCAAGTGCTGTCCAGTGCTGGAGGAAAGGGCTGGAGGGTCTGAGAATGAAGTAGAGCTGGGCCTTAAGGATGAACAGAATTTTAAGAAGCAGAGAAGAGAGCAGGGGGCAGGGGTGCATGGGTAGAGGGAGGGTGCCGGGCCCAGAGGGACTTCACGGACAGAAGAAAGAGCAGGAGTGAGAACGGACAGCTTAAGGCAGGCTCTGGAAGGAAGGCCCAGGCACCAGCGGTCGCACACGTGGCAGAGGAGCTTGACAGCCCCGGGAACTCCACAGGTGCCCTCCTGCCTCTGGAAGGAATGTCCCAGTGAGGCTGCTGTGGGTCTGTGGAGGGTGATCACGATTTGTGTGCTGAAGGTGACATCTGTTTAGGGACCAGTAGGGGCCCTAGTGAACACCATAACAAAAATGAATTCCAAACGACAGGGGCCTGTTTCAATCATCTAGTAGCTGCACTATGTCAGCTAACCTGGCTATGCTAAAAAAGAAACCCAATTCAAAATCAAATGTCCCATCACACAGGTGAGGCGGGGCGGCTGACTGTGGAAGAGGGGAAGAACACGGGTACAAGCTTCTTAAGGACCACAAATTCCCCCAACCCCGTTCACCGCTGAAGGCGAGCTTCCCACTTCCATCCTGGCCCCCAGCACCTGGCACACACAGCCTCTGTGCACAGCAGGCCCTCAAAGAATGCTCGCTAAGGGAACCATGGGCTCTAAGGTCAAAGTCAAGGCCATGAAGAAGCTAAACAGGCCAAACAGACCCACTTAACGTTCTCAGCTCAGAGTTTGTTTTACTTATTTTCCTAAGACTAACCTGTTGCTAGAGTTAAAGGTCATTTCTCCCATACCAGGACTATTTTTTAATTATTGCTATTATTATTTTTTGATACAGAGTCTTACTCTGTTGCCCAGGCTGGAGTGCAATGGCATGATCTCGGCTCACTGCAACCTCTGACTCCTGGATTCAAGCGATTCCTGTGCCTCAGTCTCCTGAGTAGCTGGGATTACAGGTATCCGCCACCATTAGCCATGCGGGCTAATTTTTATGTTTTTAGTAGAGATGGGGTTTCGCCATGTTGGCCAGGCTGGTCTTGAACTCCTGACATCAGGTGATCTGGCTGCCTCAGCCTCCCAAAGTGCTGGGATTACAGGTGTGAGGCACCAAGCCTGGCCAGGACTTTCTCGTTGATGGCTTTCTGCTAGACAGAATGCACAGCTCGGGTGCTAAAGGCCAGGCACCTGAAGCCCTGTAACGGTGTGATACCCTCAAACCATCAGACATGCCAGGATGCTGGGTGCAGGGTACTAAACGTCTGTTTCCGTGATGTGATGTGATACAAGAAACAGAGACATCAGCAGTGACTACATCTGTGGAACACTGAAAATTCATACACAGTGAGTATGAGGACGTGGCCACACCACAGAGGGATTTGAGGGGCAGAGGGGAGGACTGTTTCTTCAATGAAATGATGACAGGGCCTCCAAGTGTTTCTTGAGAGTCACACTCTCAACATCTTGCTTTAGGAATCAATCCCATGGTGCCTCTTTAGCCTGACATAAGAGCTGTTAGGGGAGGGAGGCAGGGATCTCCTCTTTATATCCATATGAAATTCTTCCAGGAACATTTGGGAGGGGGTTATGGGAAGTGAAGCCTGACTACGGAAGGAAATGCTTCAGTCACTGGGTTAATTGTTCCCTCTTGCTTGTCTTTTTAATAACTGACAACAAAGCATCCAGGAGTAATGAGCAAGCAGGCACACGGGTCCTAACAGCCCCAAGTGGACCTGCACATTGTGCTTGGCCAACAGTGGACAAAGGATGGCTCCACTAGAGCACAGATCTGTTAAACGGAGGTAGGAAATGAGAAAGGTTCTCAGGTCCCAGAATAACCCTTCTCCCCTCCCCTCCCCTCCCCTCCCCTCCCCTCCCCTCCCCTCCCCTCCCCTCCCCTCCCCTCCCCTCCCCTCCCCTCCCCTCCCCTCCCCTCCCCTCCCCTCCCCTCCCCTCCCCTCCCCTCCCCTCCCCTCCCCTCCCCTCCCCTCCCCTCCCCTCCCCTCCCCTCCCCTCCCCTCCCCTCCCCTCCCCTCCCCTCCCCTCCCCTCCCCTCCCCTCCCCTCCCCTCCCCTCCCCTCCCCTCCCCTCCCCTCCCCTCCCCTCCCCTCCCCTCCCCTCCCCTCCCCTCTTCTTTTCTTTTCTTTTCTTTTCTTTTTTTGAGATGGAGTTTTGCTCTTGCTGCCCGGGCTGGAATGCAATGGCCCAATCTCGGCTCACCGCAGCCTCTGCCTCATGGGTTCAAGTGATTCTCCTGTCTCAGCCTCCCGAGTAGCTCGGATTATAGGCATGCGCCACTTTGCCCGGCTAATTTTGTATTTTTGATACAAACAGGGTTTCTCCATGTTGGTCAGGCTGCTCTCTAACTCCCAACCTCCACTGATCCACCTGCCTGGGCCTCCCAAAGTGCTGTGATTACAGGTATAAACTGTGCCCGGCCCCCTTTTCAACAGAAAATGCAGATAAATAACTTCCATTCAGTCCAATCAAAAACATCCAGTGCTTCAGTCAAAAAACCAACAGCCAGGTGCGGTGGCTCAGGCCTATAATCCCAGCACTTGGGGAAGCTGAAGCGAGCAGACTGCTTGAGCTCAGGAGTTTAAGACCAGCATAGGCAATATGGTAAAACCCTGTCTCTACTAAAAATACAAAAAAATAGCCAGGTATCATGGTGTGCACCTATGGCCCCAGCTACACAGGAGGCTGAGGTGTGAGGATTGCTTAAGCCCGAGAGGTGGAGGTTGCAGTGGGCCGAGATAGTGCCACTGCACTCCAGCCTGGGTGACAGAGTGAGACCCTATATCAATTTAAAAAAATAAATGAACACCACCACCAAAAACTAAAGCACAGCCCTCATCAGGCTGTTTGAGAAATCCGAAGAACTGCGCAGAAAAGGAGCTCTGAGGAATGAATGCATCCGGGCAAGCCTGAAGCAGCATTAGCACTTGCCGCTGCTCTTACAACTCTGAGAGCACACTGCCGCCAGCTGTGCAAAGGGGAGCGTGAGGTTCTGCATTCACCAGTTATGGAAGCACGTGCTACAAACGAGAATAGGCCGGATTCTGAATGCACCATAGGGACGTGAAGGGAGACTGAACTGCACCTACCTGATACTCGGGAATGGACCTCACTGCTTCCACGACAGCCACAGACATCAGATGCTGGACAAACGGGATCCTCTGTCCCAGCTGGGATCTCAGTGGGATGGAGATGAGCAGAGTAGAAAGGGCGCATCCCGTGGGGCTCAGCCACGCGTTCCTTCCCCGTCCTGGAACACACGCCGCAGTGGGAAACATGCTACCTTGCCACGTGGACAGACACAGGCACACATCATGCCAGGACCACACACTGAAGAGACATCCCACTTAAATAAAGCTGGGCTTATTACAATGCTTGACTATTCTGGGCTTAACTCAATAAAAGAAAAGCTTTTTAAAATCGGAAGCTCTGTGGCTGAAAAAGTTTCCAATAATTAGCATAACGTTTTGCTTCTGTGAGCCTATCATGTGTGCCTTGATGACTCAGAGTCTTAAGTGTCTGAATGTGACTATAAGTTTAATTCCCACCATATAGTCCTGAAGGCAAACACAGAGACAGTGGGAAACTGAGTTGAATCTGTACGGATCCATGAGAGGTCCTGTAAGCCACTGTTTAGAAGTAATTCCTATTGTGGCGATGGTTGCACAGCCCAGCAAATACACTATTAAATAATAGCCACAGAGCTGTACACTTTATTTATTTATTTATTTTTATTTTTTAAGGTGGAACCTGGTTGGAGTACAGTACGTGTGATCTCAGCTCACTGCAACCTCTGCCTAATGGTACAAGTAATTCTCCTGCCTCAGCCTCCCAAGTAACTGGGATTAAGGTGCCCACCACCATGCCCAGGTAATTTTTGTATTTTTAGTGAGACAGGGTTTCATCGTGTTGGCCAAGCTGGTCTTGAACTGGCCTGTGATCTGCCACCTTGGCCTCCCAGAGGTGAGCTACCACGCCAGCCAGAGCTGTATGCATACTTTAAATGGAGCAGTTCTATTTCAGTAAAGCTGTTTAGAAAGGGATTCCTGATATTAACTGCGTTATTACTTCTCCTCCTCCTCCTCCTCCTTCTTCTTCTTCCTTCTTCCTTCTTTCTTCCTCCTCCTCTTCTTCTTCTTCTTTTCTTCTTCTTCTTCTTTTAAAGAGACGGGATCTTGCTCTGTTGCCTAGGCTGGAATGCAGTGGTGTGATTACAGCTCACTGGGCTCAAGTGATGCTCCCACCTCCCGGCTCCCAGGTAGTTGGGACTATAGGTGAGTACTACCATACCTAGCCAATTTTTGTATTTTTTTAAGAGGTGGGTCTTGCTAAGTTGCCCCAGCTGGTTTGAACTCCTGGGTTCAAGTAATCTTCTGCCTTGACCTCCCAAAGTGCTGGGATTATAGGCATGAGCCACAGGGCCTGGCCTACTTTTCTTAAAATTGAAGGTAGAAAAATAGAAGAATCCAAATGAGAGGAAGAGCTCATCAAAGTTCTTCTAGAATGTCTTTAAAAAAAAATCCACATATGGAGATCCACAGCTTCTGATAAAAAGATTTTTTTTCCCATTTGAATTATGTTCGAAAGACACGTTCAAGAGAAAGAAGTGAGAACAGCAGATTTCTTATTTCTTTGGTTCTTATGAAAAAGTCGTAAGAGTCTATGAGAGAAGCACATTTGGGTGGGTGTGGCACTGGCTAGGGGCAGGGAGGGGCCGTGCCCGGGGAGCAGCCCCTGCACAGGGTCAGACCCCGGATGGGTCTGGGAGGATGTGGGCTCTCGCCTCTGGGATCAGCGCTGTGCTTCTCTGTGGTCACTGTGTGAGTGGCCTGGTGCACAGCTCACCATGTACATGCAAGGCCAGAGCCAGCTGGGGTGGGAACCAGCACACAAAAGGCCTCCCACGTGCTGCTCAGTACAGACACAGAAGGCTCCTTATGGAGAACTTTCAGGAAAATAAATGTCTCTAGAGCACAGCGACGATCCACAGATTGTGAAGCTCAGAATTCATGTAGGTCACATTTGCCATCACAGGCAAACTCCCAGTGATTCATAAGCATTATGATCTGAAGAGAGTGCTTTAGTTCTGCTAAGGCTGAGCCTTCTGATCACTCCTTGCCTCTTCCTCTTCATTCCGGGTGGTTATAAACATAGACACGACTTCTAACTTGAGTCCCCAGATGATCAGCACATGCATTCACTGGGCTCCTGGGCCACAAGAGTCGCAGAGTTTAGAAAACAAAAGTAACAACAATGATAACAAAGGATGACTGACCTTTGCCCTGGGTCTGCCGGGCCGCGATCGCTATTAAGCCCATTTCCTGTGGCATCTGAAACATCAACCTGCGAACAGGAGAGAGACTAATCAGGCCAGACATGGACACACACGCGGGCACTGACGACTCACACAGGATGGACACCGTTTATGTGCATCTGTGGGTATGTGGCCACAAAGGGCCAACTCTGGTTTCCACTGGCCTTCAGGAACGTAGAGCCAGGAAGGATATCACCCTCCTTTCTAACCTCAGTGTGAGAATGAAAAGAGATGAAGAAAGCACCTTTTAACATCAAAAAAGAGCATGGGAGGGGGTTACTGCCTGAGCCGTAACTCCATTTATGTAAGACTGGGTTAGATTATATTGCCTCAGAATATCCTACCACGTCCTTTCTCCCCGCAACCCCAATGTGTATACCTTCTTCAAGTGACAACTAGCAATTCCTGACATTTGTTCCTACTTAGGGTGCGTTTCTGTGCGAACACTAGCACACAATCATAACAGAAGTTTCTGATTATTCAGAAAACCAATATGGTGGCAATAAAGCTGTTTAAAAGACACACTATCCCCTGAGAACTAATTATGATTTAACTATGGTAAATAAATCCACACCTTCTGAGGACGCAGGAGAGCCCTGCATCATTTTAGGCTTCAGTCCTGCTTTTAAAATGGTTTCATTTAAAAGAATACAAACTTTCCTTTGGGGGATAGGTAGAAAAGTACACTACATCCCCACCAAATGAGTCGATATTAACTTTTTTTCAAAAAAAGGAAAGGAAAAAAAATCACACAAAAAAACCCTCAGAATTTTCTGCAAGCTGCGCTCTCCCTGTTTTAACACCACGGTATGCCAGCAGGGCCGCCAAAAAAAAAAAAAAACAACCCACACTGCAGTAGGACAGTTTCTCTCTGCACACCCGGGAATTGCGCAACGGGTGCTGTGCAGGCGCAGTCTGAGGTAGGATTCCTCAACAGAGCAAAGATCAGGTTTAGCCACTTGTCAGTGCAGATGAGAGGGCCTCTTTGATTTTTTTCTTTTTTGGAAGGAGGGGGGCGGCCGGGACAGGGATGCGGAAGAGATGGCATTTTGCAATAACATAAAGTCTCAGGCTCGGGGGCTCAAGCCTGTAATCCCAGCACTTTGGGAGGCCGAGGCGGGTGGATCACAAGGTCAAGAGATCGAGACCATCCTGGTCAACATGATGAAACCCGGTCTCCACTAAAAATACAAAAAATTAGCTGGGCATGGTGGTGCGTGCCTGTAATCCCAGCTACTTGGGAGGCTGAGGCAGGAGAATTGCCTGAACCCAGGAGGCAGAGGTTGCGGTGAGCCGAGATCGCGCCATTGCACTCCAGCCTGGGTAATGAGAGCGAAACTCCATCTAAATAATAATAATAATAATAATAATAATAATAAATAAGTCTCCAGGCTTCCACAGTGGCCCTGCTGAGGACAAAGGAGCTCTAAAGAAAGACCCGCTCTGAGAAGCTCATCATCTTCCCCTCCCGGCTACAGAAACTGGGTGGAACTTTACAAATGGCTGCAACTCGGTAAGAGAAGAAAAATACTTAAAAGCAGAGAAAAACAAGTGTCCACTGTGCACCGATGGCTCACAGAGCTCCATCTGATGGCATATGCAGACCCCAGTTAGGACAGGGGGAATCCAGAAGACCCTTCACTTGTTAAATAGACGTCAGGCCACACAGGGCAGGGGCTCGGCTGGTGAGAGCTGTCTTCCCACACGGCTGCTGGCAGGCGCAGGACGCTCTTGGGGAGCAGGCCGGCCTCGCCGCCCATGTGCCAGGCCCACTTCCATCTCACATGAAATACAGCTCAGAAGTATTTCTCTTGGACACCATGAATAACTCATTGAGATCGAGTGTGCTATACAGCCCTGGGCTCCAAGAAGAAAGCGTCCTTTTCTTGTGTTGGACGGGCAGAAAATCCGAAGAAGGAGTCTTTGTCTGTGTGGGAGTTAACATTGTCTCCCAGGAACCTCTGCCTTCTGGAGGGTCCAGCAACCCTTCACCTGGCTTCCTAAGGCCCAGGGCTCTCGAGGTGATGGGGCGGGGGCTAAGGGGATGATTTAGCACATTGTGAGCAGATTGCAAAGGCCATCTAGGACATTCTGTAAATAAACGTGTAGACAGTGGACAGTCGTAGGCTATAGGCAGGGAGAGTGATGGGAGGGGCAGGAAAAAGCTTGGTTCAGAAACCAAACACAGACTTCCAGAACAAAGAGAAATGATTAAGGGAACACATGCACTAAACTGCTAGAGGTTTGGCAGCAGTTAACAGGGCATATTAATGAGAAGAGGGAGTCTGTGTTGAAGGCCAAGAGGAAATTCTGCAAGGAGGGAGACAACAGGGGAAGGAGCTAATAATGCTCAGCTTGAGACAACTGGAGGCCGCCAGATTTATTTGTGCTATCTGAGATAACTCTGGGGCCAAACCACACGGCTCATGGTCAACTAAGCAGCATTTATAAACCTTGTCAATTCTGCGTTTCTGAAAATGAAGCTGCTTGAGTTTGCTCAGCAGAAAGGAGAGGCCATAAATGCATTTCCATGCATCCTTAGTGGATGATGTCCTTACAAAAAGAAAAGAAAAAAAAAAAGGAGGGGGTTACATAATGATTACCTCCCTGCCTCTGTATATTTTCCTTCCTTGCTGGCAAAGGTTGTGGAATAAAATCTTTCTGTGAGTGGCAGCCGAGTGCATTCACTGTGTAACCAAGCGGCACACAAGAATAGTGCTCTGTTTTGTACTCTCGTGCTGAGTCTGAAACATCCGGAGCCCCCTAAGGGTCACTCTGCAAACAAGAAAGCCTCCTGGCCACTAAAGACAGCCAAGTACCCATGGAGGCTCTGCCAGTGGTACTGCCCTGATTGTCACATGGTCCTTAAGATCAGGCTTCAACGACTGAGACTAACCTAAAGACAGGCTAGCATGAATCAGCGAAAAATCCGAATGAACAAAAATGTAAATTCAGACCAAGTTCATTTACTTCGGGGTTCTGAACCTAAGAAAAGGGTCCACAATCAGCACAGCCTGAGCACGGGTTTCTGGCCATATCATCCAGGTCACAAAGCTACCTCCGGAGCCAGGCTCTCAATGCTGCACTGCAAAATCGCCTGCAGTTTTCAAACACAAAGCAAAAACAAACGGATGCTAAGATCCGGGATCCCCTCTCAATGCCAGCCTCCAGAGCCAGAGCTTTGGTGTGTCCCAGATGATGAGAATGCAGCTGGTCAAAGACTGGGGTTCTAAACCACTGCTCCCAAAGCTATTTTTCAATGACTTTTCTTTTTAACTACATTTCTTTAAAAAATTTTCCAGAGCTACAACATCAAAAAGGCAGTAATTCTACTCTGGTTCCTTCAGTGATTGAAATGAAGCATCGCATTATTTTGATATTTACTAGGGCAGGACAACAACAGTCCCACAAATGGAGAGCTTTCATTTTCTAGAGCCAGAGTGGGTTCGGTAGCTGGGGACAAGGAGAAGGGGGAAAGGAACAAAGAATAGTCATTCCGACACAGAGTGTGCACCAGAAGTGCCATTACATGGAAGACAGTCACTTAGTGTGTCTGAGTCCCTGCTGGTGTTCTGTCTCCCTACAGTGGCTTTATTCATGATCACCAGATGTCAGGCCTACCAGATGTCATTTTTAGCCTCATGAGGCATAGTTAGGGCTGGTGTATCGTGCAAACACACACACACACACACACACACTCGACTGCCACCTCAATATGGCAGGCTTCCAACAGTGAGCACACCAGCCAACATGGCACCATCTTTCCACTCACTGTAGGATTTCTCCAAGGTCTTGTAAATGAATGAATGGACAGGCCATAGGGAAGGGGTGTCTTTGGTTTTAGATCTCAAGATTCCACACTACAGGCAAGCCAATGGCTCCTTTGACTGAGCGCCCACCCACATGCTGAACCCTTGGTATGAGCGATGTTCTCATTTAAATGTCCCAATGACTCTCAAGACATGATCATTGCCAAGTAGTCTCATTTTACTGCTGACAAGTGGAAGCTTCACAGAAGAAGTGGCTTGGTGAGATCACAGAACAGTCAACTAAGTTTGCCTGGCTCAGAGGCTCATCTTCTGACTCACTAGGAAAGAATCTTTTGCTTTTATCAAAACAGAATCTTCAGGTAGAAACACCACCAGCTTTTTTTTTTTGATGAGACAGAGTCTTGCTCTTCACCCAGCAGTGAGGTGATCTTGGCTTACCGCAACCTCAGCCTCCTGGGTTCAAGTGATTCTTGAGCCTTAGCTACCCAAGTAGCTGGGACTACAGGTGCCCGCCACCATGTCTGGCTAATTTTTATATTTTTAGTAGAGATAAGCTTTCGCCATGTTGGCTAGGCTGGTCTTGAACTCCTGACCTCAGGTGATCTGCCCACCTCGGCTTGGGAAAGTGCTGGGATTACAGGCGTGAGCCACCACACCCAGCCAGCCAGCCTCTTAAAATGCATTTGTATTAACTCTTAGAGGTTACTGGGCTGTCTCGAAAGTTCTGGAAATTTACTTCCAAATAATAAAATCAAAATGGGGTTCTTGCTTTATCTTTTTTTTTTTTTCCTGAGAACTGAAACAGAGTCATCTTACATTTTCAAAAAATAAACACTACCAGCTTCGAGGCCAAGTTCATCAATTCTGTGCTACGTGTCTGAATAGGTATTTTCCCAACTCTGTACGCATTCTGCTTCAAATACTTCATTTTCCTTATGAAATTTACATAAATTATAATACTAATAAGAAGCTTCTTTACCTACAGGGTAAAGAGGTATCTGAAACATCTGGGCGAACAAAGAAACATGAAGGCAACAAATTCCTTCCTGCAGAAGGGTGGCTCCCCCGGGCCACTGGAGCCCTTGCTTTCCACCCCGGGTCCCGTCGCCTTCAGGGTAATTACGAGGAAGAATGCCCTGCCTGCCAGCTGGCCTGGAAACCAGGGTGCCTTTCACCACCCTGATGCCCTGCGTGTCACCCTCCTTTCCCTCTTGCAGCTCCCACCTCTCTCCAGAGCCTTCCCTGAACCCCGCCCTGCC